TAAGCATGTCCATCTGCCAGCTTAAATGAAATGTGTTGTTTACAGTTTTGAACTCGGTCCCATGTCTTTTCATGACCACTTCTGCATAATGAAATTAATACTATTCTTTGTATCAATTAAAAAGATTTTGGGTGAAATCACTGTCTTCAAAGGTTTAAGAAGACTTCTGTAAATTACTTACTCCCTCTTCTCATGAACCTCGTACACACAGAAGTCCCGCTGTATGTCATACGATTTTGCACACATTAATTTTTGTTGTTGTCATTGTATTATTTGCATAACCTATTTACAGCCAAAATTAGCTGCTCCATTGAATATCAGAACAACGGTGAGAACGCGCTACGACTTTGCGGACAGCGGAGACCTCACAACTGTGACTGCATATCTATCTTTCACTCATCTCACTCATCTCGCTACCAGAAAATGGTTGTCAGGGCGATGTGGCGTGCTTTTGATTTGCGGCGACTCGTGCACACAAACGCACTACCCCTTAGGAGAAGTGCAACGAGCTGACGCTTGGCTCATTGGCTCATTGGTTCTGTATTATGTATTCTAGTGACGATATTTTCCGCTGCTGTAGCAACAACAATGCAAGTAACCTGCAACGTAAGCATTAAATGACCGGTAATAATAGAAAATTAACAAAACCAGCAACAACGGCGACCACAGGCAGTGACGTGTAGTGAAGCTGGCAGCGAATTTGCTGATATAACGGATATAACGGCATGCATATGAGAAATTTGTTGCCTGTAAAAGCCATAATTAAGCGCACTAATTGGCGACTCGGATGCAATAAATGAAGAACAATAAAAGTTGTCTCTAGAAGTGTGGCCCTGAAAGACCTGGAAGAGGTGAATACGCACTGCTCCACTCACACGCACACCTACATACATAAAAGCATACAAAACTATTATTTTTTATTTATTTCGAATTTCCCGCTTGGTTTTTATTTCTCCTCGCTGCATTTTCACTGCCGGCGATAATAAAATATGAGTTTCGGACTTATATTCCTGTCCGTAAAGCGTAAAACTCACGCACACGCATACACACACGCGCACACACACGCACACATTCAGTCAAAGCACCACTTCCAAGCTTGTCAGTTCTTTTTTTCCTTTTTTGCATTTCTTTGGCGTTTATTTTGTGTACCTTCTACGCCGCTCTATGGCCCACGTTTCAACTTTATTTTCTTTGCTCTGTACTTTTAATTTGGTTTGTGCTTTTGTTGGTGTTGTATTTTTATAAATGCACCTCCTGCGGTTGCCACAGTAATGGCCGAGGCGGCATCGGCGTCGTCAGCAGCGATAATTGCATTAATTGCCTGTGGCTTTGCCCTGGCGCACCTCTGCTGCCTCTCCATGGCCTCTCTGCGGCCTTTGCTGCCTCGTTTGCTTCGTTGGCTCCGCTTGGCCCGATTATTCCACTGGACGCTTGCCCATTGACGGCTGAGAGGCAGCTGCAGGTCTGCCAATGCTATGAGCAACAAGGGACGCATTTTCGTAATTTTTTATTTTTATTTTTGTAAATTTTTTGTTGTTGCTTCCGGCGTTTTCAGGTCAAGGATATTGTAATTTTAAATTTATTTGCATATAAAGGGTTTTTAGCACAATTATTTTCTTGCACTCGACATTAAGCGCGCAGTGACCGCTCTTGGGCTTAAGGTGATCCGGGCGGATTTAAAGCTTTTCTGCATAACGGTGATTGTAGTTTAATTTTTACAAATTTAATCTCATTGAAATGGTGAATGGTTTGGATTGATAATAATATCTCGAAGTATACCGAAGCTCTGCATCAGTTTAGAGTCCGCCCGGCTGACTAAAACCCACTGACTATTAAATGATAAAGATGAAGAATTGTTTGTCAACTGATATAAACCAGAAAGGAATTATTATTGCTTTTATCTGCCTTGGGCATCCCGATTACAGCCGAATCAACTTTGGCGTTCCGCTTGCTCTGAGACGCCAATTAGAGATATCAAGTTAGTCCATTCCTCTGCACCTGATTTGCCCGACAGAGTTGAGTTCCACGAGTAGTTCTGTGCTTTCACCCATTATCGAGCTAGAGTATACCCGTCTCGGATGGAATTCAGACACACGTCAAAAAGAAAATTGTCGTAAATGATTTTCGAAATGTGGTTGTCCTAGAACGGAATTCTATATGCGGCTCATAGTTGTGGAAGTAGAAAGGGGAAAACAGACATTTCTTTATGGAGCGAGCTTCAAATACGTTCAGTATGATGCTGTTAGTGGTTCTCTGGCAGAGAGTTTTTCATAGCCATGGACAGATTCCCAGCTCAAGGCTAGTACTTTGAACAGAAGCAGATTGTCTATTCGTTTTCCAATTTGAAGGTGGTAAGAGGCAGTCATGCTTTCAAGAGCTCCACCTAACATCACGACTATACCAAACTAACTACCTGGTGACGGGCATTGGAAGATCCACTGAAAAATCTTTCACATTAAATAAAAGTGGCATTTTGAGCGAGGTATTGGGCGTTCTTTGCTAACCGAGGGCAGCACATTTATAAATGAGATGAACCAATCAGTCCATTTTGCTTCATCAAAGAATATTTCCGGAATTTCTGCGCAAGTTTATAATGGAATTCTCTATAGAATTTTACCAGATACATTCTTAATTTCCTGGAGTTTCTCATATGAAATTTAATTACGTCGATGCCATCCCGTAAGCAAAAAGCTCAATTAACGGTACCATAAAAATCGATTTTCAGCCATAAAAGGAGGTAAGTAAGAGTAAAAGTAAGACATAATGCACGTATGTAATGTATCCGTATGTACATATGTACGCGGCAACAGCGCTAGTTGTAATAAAGCCCAAATGAAACACAACGGTTTTCGCATGTAATCATGTCTTAATTATCCTTTAAGTCTTGCCTTGCGCGCGTAAGTGTTGGAGGTAAGCTGAAAAGCTTCTCGGTTCAGTGGAAAGCGGGTGAGGTGAGGCTGCCTGCTGGCATAGTTGAATAAGCTTATATTTAATCAAACGTCAGCATGACTTAAGATATTGGGCATAAGAACAGCAGATAAGAGGTGGTAAGTGGTAAGGAAATGAAAGTATGCCGTTAGGCTTCGAGGGATAGCGTAAAAAAGCTGCTTGACGAGCAAAATTAATGACATTTTCAAAGTATTTTTCTTGCAAAATACGAGATAACATGATGGAGTATAGTAAAGCGGTAACTACGTTTCTTGATATATTACATAATTTGATATTGTATACATAACTGGCGCTTAGTAACCGCTGAATCCTTTTTCGGCCGAGGTCCCCTCCCAATTTCAGGTCTGCGTCTTGATGTTTTCTCAACAAATTGAAGGATCCGTAGCCTGTTTTAAGCTAACCTAAGGCCAATGTATTTTATGAGGATCAGGATTTGATATTCCCCGCCGAAGAGCGACTGCAATTAGAAAAGTTAATGTTCTAAAATTTTGGATGTTGGTGGATCGATCGGAAAAAAATTGAGTAAAATTTCGTTGAACTAAGAGTAAGTCAGTAAAGTCACAAGAGCGATGAGGAGAAAAGCGGTAGTTATGCGACCTACTTCTGAAAAGAAGAGCACGGTTCTTCACACTAGATACACAATAGGAGCGTAGTAGTACAGCTTGGTGCCATGTAGCGTGCCTGCCAACACTAAAGATGTATTTCGTCCATGTGAGACCCAATTGGTCAGCGAGCTTAACCTAACCTCATCCACTTCTGACTGAGAGTGCTAAGATCACGTGCAAAAGCAGCAATCAGTTTTTTGGTAGCGCGATCTCAGAAAGATTGCTGGGCGATGGTAATCCCGGTGACATTCCTAAGGCTTCTGGTGTCACATGCGCGTAAATTTGGAAGGAGGCTAGTGTGAGCGAAACGTTAATGCACCGTTTCTGTTCAATTTAGAGGACCAGATATCGATGTGTTCTTAAATTTTACAAAGAGCATTAAAAAACCAATTTTTAAAACCAGGTACGACTAATGGCTCTTTAGTACAGTGGGTTTTATTAAAAAAGGAAAAAAAGAGAGTTAGGTCCTTTTTACATTTAATCGACATTAGATATATTATACTTACGCACAGGCCTACGGCAGCATCGTTGCTGGCACCAATGAGTTTGCACAAATTATTTGCCGAGATTTTCTTCAATCGATGGCGTTTAATGAGCCAAAGTCAGCCGCCCACTGTCTCGCCCCTGCCGACTTTAGCGCCAGTCGATTATCTCTGTCTTAAACGTTTTTATGCTGAAATTCAAACAAAACCGTTAACATATTGGAAACTCAAAATAGACCCTACTACAACAAAGCCTGCAAGGACAAAGCTTTTGCTGTTATGTAAATATTAATGACAAACATTTTGTTCTGCGTTCTCTTCGCTTTCGATCGTCTCGGTTGTGTTCACCATTTTGTAGAATTCGCAGTCAGCGTTAGCGACCGGAAAAAGAAGTGTGCGATAACCGGTTGGGTGATTTTAATGAAATTTAAGCTAAAAAGTAACAGGAGCTTAGAAAATCTCTTAAGAGGAAAGTTCATTGGTCTGACAGGATGTGAGGTGGGGTGGCTTCCTGGCGCTGCTTCGGTTGCAGGTGGTTGAAAACACCGAGCTACCGCAGGCGTTTGACAGACGGCAAAGGCGGGGAGCGGCGTAAACACTTGTGCATATTTGCTCATTTTGGCTGTCGAAATATGCGCAATTAGGCAATATTCAAATTATGTTATGAAATTATGATGAACACAAGCAAAATTAAATATTTACACACCTTTGAGCGACGCAACGGGTGAAGACAAATACAGCAGCAAGCATATAAGCAAACAAGCACATAGTTATATGCACACATACACCCCTACGAAGCATTCATGTAGGCCTTCCTTGCGCCCCTTCGACACACCGCCATGTTGACACTTCAGCAACCGCGAAATCGGGCATCCCCCAAGTAGGGCGGTGAATTGATAGGTAAGCAACACTTACACACTGTCACACTTGAAACGCAAACCTTCTCAATTGGATATGAATATCGACAGAGAAAAAGAAAAAGAAATTCCAAATTTCCACAAAATAATTTTTAAAATTTATTTATATTTGGATTTCAAAATTTTTCTTCGAAGGCGCAAGAAAACTGTGCTGTGACAGGTCTGAGGATTCACTGGAGCAAAAGTTTTATGACACGGCTGTGGGGAACGGTGCTGTGCATACATAAGAGACAAATTTGTCTGCTTCCTGTGGAGCCAGACTCTGATATCTCTCGTTCTCTCTAGAGATGGGAAACTTGTACACTAAAGTTTGGTCCAATAAAAAGAAAGAGTCCAAAATGTATGTGAAACCGGTGTCGAAGGAAACTGTGTTGAAAGCTGTGGAGGACATACAAAATCTGTAAGTCAGAGCGTCTGCAGATCGCCATAAAGAATCTTTATAAACTCACCAATTTTGTCTTTCTATCTTGGGGCCTGCAGCACACCCGAGCAAGTGGAGGCGCAATTCGAGAACGTCTGTCGTGAATCTCAGAAAGAGCTGAACGGCCTAACGCACAATCCTTGTGGTCGTCTGTCGCTGCGCATCAAGCATTGTTTAGATGAAAATGTTCAGCAAATGTCGAAGTGCTTCGCCGAGATGGATGCTTATAAAAGTTGTGTCAATGATATGGTGTCCAAGAAGATAGCGCGTGTAATTGGGTCGTTGGACAATATCGACAAGGAGGTCGAGTTGGAGGGCAAGCAAAGTGATAGAGAGCTAAGTCGAAAGCCGCCACGGCAAGGGGAAGAGGGCAGGAATAGCTGTGCATAAAATTTCGTAGAGTGAGGGAATGAAATCTGGATATTTGAAGATGTGTTTATTTTGTCCATTTGGTTTTTTATTTTTTATTCCTATTTTTGCAAAAAACCTTCTTTTTATTTAATTTAAAATTGGTAAAATGGTGTGAGAATCTAAAACTTCCATTTATATTTTAATTAATTTTCCACTTCAAAATTCACAATCTCAGTTCTAATATAGTAGAAAGAAGTTATGTATGAACTCCAAGGACGACGCTTCTTGCATTCTTGACGAGCGTACACTCTGAGAACTCACAATCGCCTGTGGACACTATCTTGTCTTGTAAAGTCAAGCAACCGTCTCTGCGTATCAAGGAACGCCCCTCAAGAAACAAAGAATATTCGTCGTCGAAAAGCTGCACTCACAACAGGCAGCCGAACAGTTTGTTACTCGACTCGCACTCCTGCTTAGCCAGTGTGCTATTAGGGAACTATGGGAGGGCATTTCATGCTCCTACTTAAAGCTTCAAACGGACCTGTTCATTTTTGAAAGGGTCGAAAGAACAGCTGGTTTGATGGGGATCACTACGCCGCTGTGGAGAGAAAACAGGCAGCTTATTTCGCAATGTTGCGGTCGCCCATGACTAGAATATACAGAAATTATGGAGGGAACACTTCTCATCCTGCTGAATTGCAGTGAGATTTGAACATCAGGAGATGACGATGGAGCAACTGTTTCATTGGCCGCCTATGAAAAATTTCTAATAGCAATCCTTACATGACCGTTAGATTTTCGGCCGGACTACTCATCAGATGCATACATCAGTTTTTTTTTTTTGTCAAAAATGGTCACCTGCCCAATTCACCGAAAAAAAGAGATCTCATAACAATTTTTAGTCTCAACCAAGAAATCTAACGCAGAATCACTCCTGCCAACAAATGCTGCTTTGGATTGAGTTGGCAATTAAAAAGATAAGTCCACTATCGACCAAATTCCACTAGTCACTCATCGATGAGGTCCTTCTATATGGTGCGAAAGCATGGACGATGGCAACATCTGCTGAGTTTGCGTCAAGAGATGTGTTTGTCTCAAATTTATGGTCGTCTGCGCGTTGGCAACGTCAAATACTAAAGGCGATGAGACGATAAGCTGTCCAAAATATACGGCGACATTGACTTGGTTCAGCAAATCGAGAAATAGCGGACACGTTTGCTAGGTTTTGTGGTCGGAATGGAGTAGAATACTCTCGCTTTAAAAGGTTTCGTTTGGAGGAAGCACAAGAAGAGAAAGACCTCCATTTTGTTGGGAAAACCAGGTGGAGAAGGACCTGGCTATAGTGACTTCGGAATGCCGCCGAATGGCAAAAAGAAGGAATGAATGGCATACTGTTGTCAACCGACTATAATCGCGTAAGCAGTGTTTACGCCAGTAAAGAAGGAGAGGAAGGAGCAACAGAAAAAAAGTAAGAACTTTTATATTCCTCCAACTCAATTTATTAATTCTTTTGTGTGATGCTATACTATTTTTGATAAAATGTATTTGAATAATTTGGACAGTTGAACATACGAGCTTTCGCTGATTTACAATTCAATTTCCATAGAAAAAATGTAAAATCCTTCGCCTGTTTTAGTTTTCTCTTTCTATTTCTGCTTTCGTTTTGTCGATTCATCAAAAGTGAATAAAAATACAAAAATCTCATGCAAAAGGGCGTACACGTGCCCGCTCACTGAGCTGTCTACGAAATCGAAGTTTATAAATAATTTGACTTTCATCCAAACAGTGGAGTATTGAAATAAAGACACATTAGCTTCCTGAGCGCTTCCACTTTTCATACCAAATAAAACGCGCAGAAAGATGTTTTTCTTATTTTTACGTATTGTAATTTAGATATTAAATAATTTGATTTATTATGGAAAATGTCTCAAAATCACGTGATACTGTTGAATTCTGAATTTGTTGTAAAAACTTACTTTAAGTACTTATATTTTAAATATTTTTCTAATTTCGAATTCTTCAAGCATCATTCAGAAAGTCTTCAAGTCTTGGACCATTGATATTCATCAAGCACTGTAATCGTATGTACATACATATGTATGAATGTCTTTTATGACGAACGACTTCTACTGCCGGATATTTGCCTTTGCCTCATATGTAGGTTGCCGCTGTTCAGCCTGGTTGCCCGTCTGCTCGCCTGTCTTGTTTGCTTTGACTGATGTTGCGTCGTCATGACAATACATATTTTTGTTGCCATCAAAGAGACTTTTTTTGGTGTCATGATTTATCTGGCATCTTTACTTGCGGCATATTTATATATGTATATACACACACGCGCACACACATACTTGTATAATCGCACTTTCATACCGGAATCACGATGGAAATGATGAAATTTTCCCTTGCAAACCCCAAATGTCAATTGCTTCGCTTGTTTGTTTGCCATTCGTATGTGCATACATATCTATGTAGATATGTTCGTATGTGGCTGTGCTTGTACTGGCTTTCTTGTGGCTTGCAAAGGTAAAACATGTCCTTGTTGTTGTCAGACCACTTCGGTTGACTGGACGACAGATGATAAATGAAATTTTCGGGTTTTACAGGCAATCCCTCCATGCAAAGCCCGTAAATGAGGGTGCGCGCGACATGAGATTGACGCCAAATATTCTCAATGACAAGTGGAAGTGTTGTTGTGGAAGGACTTTTTTCGATTTTTTAGACATCGTATTAAGCTACGAGGTAGTTGTTGTAAGTTGTGCTTATGAGAAATTTAATTTGGGAACTGGAAAATCAGTCAGGCATTCGTAATTAAATTTATAACATCTCGTTTGAATTAAAAACAGAAAACCTCAGAGAAGGGGTTTGCGAACGTGGAGTTCGATAAGGAAATTAAAAATTCTTTTCAAGCCGCAGCTTGAGATTTCTAGACGTATAGTGATTGGGAAATTACTGTCAAACGATAACTTTTATACCCGAAATTTTGTAGGTGATGCCCATTGATTTGCTGCAAATAAAATTATGTTGTTAAACGACGAGCCCAGAAGAAGTGGATGATGAGAGGCTGCTTCAAATCACATTAATTCTCCACTTGTCATTACAGGGTTATCTAAATTCTTATCACTCGGAAAGCACATTTAAGAAATTATAACTTTTTTTTAAATTGTGGACCGGATTCTGCGAGGCACTCCATACGAACAAGGCTTGCCAAGTAAGCATAGCCTGGACACTCACAGATTACGTGCTCTACTGTCTCTATATATTTTTAATACATTTACGGCACTTGTTGTCCTCAATCAGGCTTAGAGAAAAGGACTGGGATGCTAAATTGCAGTCTCCCATTAGCAGTCCTACCAGCACCATGTGAGCTTAGGATCTTATGCTTTGCGCACAGATTTCGCGATACTGCTGCTTTTAGCTCCTTCCAAAAATGTATTCGCCTAACGGGGTAGGGCTACTTATTGTATTTGCTTCACTTCCTTGAATGTGATTGATAGGTCTATTGTTAGAGCCTGTTGTAAAAGGACATCCTCTTTTGCCTGTTCGTCAGATATCTGATCCTTCTATGGCTATATGACCTGACACTTTGTAAATGCAATCTCTTCTTTTTCAGACAGTACTTGTGCCTTTTTAATGAGAGGGATCATAGCCGATTCCGTTAAGAATGCCTTGTTTTTAGCTACTTGATGTGCAGGGCCCAGGAACAGTCGTTCTGCAGATTGTATTGTTTGTATTGCATGTCCAAATTTTTCGCTGTATTAAAGCACCGAAAAAATATACTGGCTTAACAATCGCAACAAAGACCCAATGAGAGAGAGGAGTGAGAAACCTCCAAGTGCTGGGAACCTTCATAACAACTTGCTATTCAACACAGATCCCAAGTACTCAGCGCTAGGCTTAGCAGAATAGCGACCTCTTCCAGCTTTGGTTTAATGCAAGCTGGAATTTTGCGTTTCCTTGGGAATACTACCAGGTTTTATAGCACAGTTGTTGATATGGTTCAAAGTACCTGATTCGCAAGGGGTCCAAGAGCTACCAAATACTTACCGGCTTCCATTTTCAGCAATCCATCTATCCAATCCTTAAAATCACGGTTGAGTCTTGTTGATTCTGAGGCCTATATTAAGTGCTGCTTAAAAACTTTATGCAGCGCCCGAGATATGTCTAGGGAGACAACCGATAAAAGCCACACGACATTATGTAATGCTTTGCCTACCGACTTACACAGTTTGTAGGCGTGATTGTTATTAACATCTAACAGCCGCTCCATTTTCAAAAGAGTCACATTTTATTGGGCGATGGTCGTTAGGGTACAGGTGCCCTGTCTTACTTACTTTGGCTAGGAATTCTTGTATTGCTGTTCGTCAGGAAACCTGGACCTGGTTTTCCTTAGGACAACTTCCTTCCACCTGCTATTCGAAATTTAGTCGGGAAGATTCCATCTAGATCCAGTGATTTATTATTCGAAAACGTTTGTATTGCCAGGTAACCTAGGTCTAGATCTACTATACCGACTATGCTTTCCATCTGCTCTGCCTCAACACGACATTTCGCTCCGCCGTAGACGATAGGCAATGGGCAGCATTTCTACTAATTCCTTACAGTTATTGGCCCATGATCCGTTATCAGATGCAATAAGTTCTTGAACCGTGGCTCTCTTGTATAGAGTCAGTTGTTCCCTATTCCGTAGTGAAACTTAAATATTCCTCTTCTTCATTTCTGGTTATGTCACTGTGCGCGCGATTGCATTATTTTCTCCCTAAAAAGCGAAACTCATTATTCACATTCATTATTCATAACCCCGAACGCCAATGTCTTATTAAGTAATTTTAATGTTGATTTTTTTATTCATTTCGTTGTGTACGTGTGTACGTACGAGGGGATAAACAAAAGTTAAATCTAAAAATACCAAATCCATGCAATTACTTTATTGGTCCTCCTTTCCAGTTTTAGAACGATCCGCTAAAATGGAGGCGAGAAAACGCCAGATAGCTGAGGATAGGTCAGACGAAATTGCATGGTTCTCTTCGGGTTTCGGCGTAATTTACAGCCAATACAAATCTTCAGTGAATGCCAAATCCCATATAGAATGTCTTGAAAGACCATTTGTAAGTAGTTTCGAAGATTCCAGGCCAGACATTTTTCTGTAGAGGA